GCTTCCTGGGCTTGAGTGGGCGGGGCAAACGCCCTCCTCTCCAATTCCTCCTGGAGGTACCCTCCCACCTGCCTCTCCTGATCTCCCCGGCCTCCCTCCTATGCCCCCAAGCACCCACGCAGCCTGGAGGGGGGTTTGGAGGACAGGAGGACCGCACCTGGGGGCTCAGCAGCCTCCCCCTGCCCAAGTGAGCAGGGCAGTCACCCTCCGCTCCTCTCCCCCTCCTGGAGGGCCCCTCCCGATCACCCCGCCCGCAGGGGCACCCATCCTGTCTGGCCTCCACTTCTCCCGCCGTCAGTCTCCGTATGTCCTACCGGTTCACTTTGGGGTTCCTCTGTCTCCTTGGGTGTCAGAGTTCACCACCAGCGGCCAGCAGGTGCCCTAGTTGTGGGGAGACGCTAACTCCGCATCTTCCCACACTGCCATCTTGACTCCACCTCCTCTGCAGGATTTTTAAACCAACTTAATTCCTTGACTAGGCAGTCAGTTGAGAATCCTTGTAAATATAAGGAGAGAGGAATTGAATGTAAGCAAGAGTGGACACCGGGCTCTAAGGTGCGCAGCAGAGAGACGTGGAGAATAATATACTGTGTGATAGATTGTGGAAAATTATGGCTGTTAACAGGTGAGCCTCTTATTTCAGAAGAGGTACTCATGATTGGACCATAGAGGTGAAGTGACTGGGAAATAAGGGGGTAAATTGAAGAAATCCGAGCTAAGGCTAGGCTCCATGGGTTAATCAGCAGTTTTCTCTTTAGTAAGGGTATACAGCTCCCTTTTTGGGGAATGATCCTGATTTGAGCTGGGTTTAGTGCTCTTAGGATAAAGTGAAAGGAGTTAAGGGAAACCTACATCCCAGTAGTCTACCTGAAAGGAAAGTTTGGTGATAATTGTTTGGGACAGGCTGATATAGGTGATTATTAAGAGCTTGATTATAGATTAGCTAAGGAAGGAATCTCATGGAGTGGCTTGTTCCAAGATCCAAGACTGTTTCCTCATTAAAATTGTACATGGGGGCTTAAGCCTACTTTTCACTCGTACTATGTAGAGATCTTTTTATGCAACTTGGCCAATGCCCAGGGATTTTGAGTAGCTTAACTCCTCATGAAGGGAATAGTTTATAATGAAATGATATCCTAGTTCCAACAGGTCAGAAGTGTTGCTGCATCTGTGTTGCAGAAGTGTTGTATCCATATTGCAGAAGTATTGCTGCATCCGTGTTGCATAATGGGGGTGCTGTTATTTAGTGATGCCAATTCATTGTTGCTCAGGACTGTTGCAGGCGATCTAGCATCCTTTGCCCCCACTGAGTAAGTGCCGTTAGAACTCCTAGTCATTGTTTCTGAACACCCACTTGGGAAAGGGACAGGACTGCCTTGGTTGACAACCATTGTTATGGTAGATCTTGTTTCCTTTGGAGTGACCGTGAGGCATGCGGGATCTTAGTTCCCTGACCATGCTCCCTGCAGTGGAAGCTCGGAATCCTGACCACTGGACTACCAGGGAATTCCCCTTTGGAGGGATATTTTTTTTTTTTTTTTTTGCCCTATAGACCTAGCAAATCCCATAAGTTAAAGGCTTTAAAGGCAGATATCAAAGCTCAGAATGATTGGGGGTGGGGAGTTGCAAGCCAACCAGAGGGAGAAGTGTCTGTCTTTTGTGTAGAGGTAGAAGAAAGATGGATTAAACTTCCTTAGATAGAAAGTGATACTGTATCAAAGTATTCTTTGCAAGATGTGAAAGAAAAACTCAATATTAGTTTCAGTGTTGCCTCAGTATTAACTTACCATTTAACGCTGTGGCTTAAAGGATCAGCAATTCTGTGTTAGATTCTTAAAGAATTAATAACTTTACAAAGCCACTGTCATGGACTGTGCATCCGATAGATGTGAGGATTCTCTTTAATGGGGCCTGGCAGACTTTCAATATGGGGCCAGAGAATTAATATTTGTGGCTGGGCAGGCCATACGGTTTCTTGTAGCACAAAAACAGCCCTAGATAAATACATAAGCTAATAGATGTGGCTGTGTTCCAATGAAACTTTATTTTGGGACACTGAAATTTTATTTAATTAATTAGTTAATTAATTTAAACATTTCTGAGAGTTTATTTTATTTTTTTAATTTTGTTTTTGGCCATGCTGTGTGGCACACGGGATCTTAGTTCCCCGACCAGGGATCAAACCCAGGCCCCCTGCATTGGGAGTGCAGAGTCTTAACCACTGGACCCCCCAGGGAAGTCCTTGAAATTTTAATTTCAATTACTTTTCGTGTCATAAAGTGATCTTTTTTCCAACTATTTAAAAATGCCAAAACCATTCCTAGCTCCCGTTGGGTTTGGCTTGAGGGCCGTAGGTGGGCAGTCCCTGTTCTACGAAGAGTTCCATGCTTCACTGAACCATTAGTTTTTAGTAAACTCCTTTCAAAATGGGAGTATTGCTTTTGCCTTTGTCTTTTTCTTTCTTGCTTTATTCTTTCTTTTTTGTGCTCTACCTTTCCTAGTGCTTACCGATTTTTACTTCAGAAGCGTATTTTATATAGATATATTCTGCACTATTTACAAATGTGAACTTTCTTGCTAATATTCTGTGCTTTCAAAAATTTTATTTATACTTTATCGATTCCTTGATAAATTTTCCTTAAAACCAAAATGCAGTCCTTTCAAAAACTTTCTAGTATTTGCAATTTGATAGATGGTGATAAGCATTCGAGTCCTATCTTTTAAGTAGTTTTTTGAGTCATTTACCCTGAAATTCTTGAAATGAATATGGCAAAGAAGAAAGAGAACTAAAATATGGGTGTCATATCTATTTCTTAGACCGTTTATGTATCTTGACATTTAGTTTTATTTAACCCTTTAAAACTTTCCCAAAACCCTGAAGGCTTTCTCTATTGGTGAAGCTGGCATTTTAAATTCAAGCCTGTCTTAATTCTGAAACCCGGGTTCTTTTCTAACTTAAAGGCAGTGAAAGCAGTTAAAATGTGAGCATCTGGGGATAGATTTCTGAGGTTCCTTAAGGCTCTGAAACAAACTTCAGAGCAGTGCTGTTTAATAGAACTTTGTGTGATAGTGTGAATGCCCAAAAAGGTGACCCCCTAGCTACGTGTGACTACTTATTGAACACTTGAAAGCGTAGCTAGTGCCAGGACCAAGGAACTGAGTTTTAAATGTTAAATAAGTGTAAACAGCTAGATATGGCTCATGGCTGCTCTCTTGTACAGGGTGGCTTTGGAGTCACATTAGACCTAGAGCACTACTTACACATCATCTATAAAATGAAAAGAATACTTTCTCATAGTTTTTTTAATGATGAAGTGAGGTGGTACAAGTGAAAGAGCGTATTTCTGATCTTCAGCTGGCATAATTCCAGTCTGTGGGATAAATGCACTGGGTTTTGTAGCTGATATCAGGATACTCAAATTACTTGTACTGCAAAGCAGAGTAGGTTACCTAATGCTTAGGAGTAGGAAATAGGAAGATTTGAGATAATATAAGGATAAAGACTAGCTCAGCAAATGTTTGCCATAAGCTAAAGGACAGTCTTTAAAGTTTTACCTCTTCTTTAGATGTAAACACAGACACCTATAACACAGATGACCCATGGTTAGTACTGCCCAGTTAACTAATTAATTACAACAACTGCTAGATACATACTATATGTTATAACACAGTTTATATACTGCATTCATAATTAATTTATTGTGTCTGGGTGAATCTCAGCATAAAATGCTCAAAGAATTGTGAGGATTTTCTCAGACAGCAAGGTGCTTCTTAAAGGAAATAAACAGTTTTTTTCTGTATTTGGGGATAAGGGTCAATGATAATTTTACAGATGAAAAGCAATCAGGAGATGCGTAGGGTAAGAATTTAGAAAAGAATATTAGGTGAACGAATGGATGTGAGAAAAAATACATATTGCATATTTTGTAAATACTATCTCTACGTTTTAATATTGGGAGAATTTTATGTGTTGGTAAAATGTTTCACATTGACTTGTTGAATTTGAGTGTCAGCCTTGCTTTCTTAATCAGTGTTAATTTTGGCTGCACAATCTCTTTAGCAGACTTGCCATGGGAACGGTAGTCAGCTGTCTGAAACTCCTAATTAGAGTGGAATTTGAAGGGTAATAGATGTTCTACAGCATGGGTAGGTGGACTATATGGCCTGTAGGGCAAACCTGACCAAAGGCTGTTTTTGTAAAGTTTTACTGGAACATAGCACGCATCGTCATTTAGATAACGCCTATGGCTGCCTTTTTTAAAAAAATTTATTTATTTTATTAATTCATTTTTGGCTGCATTGGGTCTTCGTTGCTGCGCGCGGGCTTTCTCTAATTGCGGCGAGCGGGGGCTACTCTTTGTTGCAGTGCACGGGCTTCTAACTGCGGTGGCTTCTCTTGTAGAGCATGGGCTCTAGGCGCGCGGGCTTCAGTAGTTGCGGCTCACGGGCTCTAGAGCGCAGGCTCAGTAGTTGTGGCGCACGGGCTTAGTTGCTCCACGGCACGTGGGATCTTCCTGGACCAGGGCTCGAACCCGTGTCCCCTGCACTGACAGGCGGATTCTTAACCACTGCGCCACCACGGAAGCCCCCTATGGCTACTTTTGAACCACAGCTGCAGAGTTGAATAGTTGTAACATGGGCAGTGTGACCTGCAGAGCCCCGAATCTGTGTGTATTTGACTCTTTTAAGTTTGCTGACCCCTGGTTCATGGCCTTGCTGCTCACACTGGTCCCTCCCTGGAGCAGCAGCAGTGGCACGTGTGAGGGCTGCTTAGAGACGCAAAACTCTGGGCTGCACCAGACTTAGAAATTAGGTATCTGCCTTTTAACAGTTTTTCCACGTGATTCATAGGCACAGTAGTTTGAAAAGAACCCAAGGACAGGATAGGGAATATATTCCATCTAGAGGCTTCTGGTTAGACAGTGACTGCCGGCTTCTTAAATTTTATTTTATTTTATTTTTAAGATATGAACACAGCAAGCCATTGAAACAGGAAGAAGCAACTGCTACAGATCTAACTGCAAAGTCACCCCTTGCTGCTTCCTCAAGTCTCTCATCAGTAGTTGGACCGATTGTTGAAATGAATATGGGCGAAGCTGAGTCAAGAAATTCAAACTTTTCAACTGTAGGAGCGGGTTCAGAAGACTGGGTGAACGCCATTGAGTTTGTTCCTGGGCAGCCCTACTGTGGCCGTAGTGAGTATTTTGAAGAATAAAAACAAGTTAGAGGGATAGAGAGTAGTTCATCAATTAGCTGCGTTTTCACAAGCTTCCTGCTTCCAATCTTAGTCTAATCTTAATACTCTTAAATTAGGTTACCTAAGACTTAACAGATAGAGTGAAAGAAACTTTTTGAATCCCAATGGTAATGAATCTAGAATGTTTTGAAAAACTGAAGCCTCTCGCTCTCCCTTTTTTTTTTTTCTTTTTAAAGATTTTTCATTTTTGGCTGCATTGGGTCCTCGTTGCTGCGCATGGGGGCTACTGTTCATTGTGGTGTGCAGCCTTCTCATTGTGGTGGCTTGTCTTGTTGCGGAGCACGGGCTCTAGAGCACAGGCTCAGTAGTTGCGGCACACACGCTTAGTTGCTCCGTGGCATGTGGGATCTTCCCGAACCAGGGCTCGAACCTGTGTCCCCTGCGTTGGCAGGCGGATTTCTTAACCACAGTGCCACCGGGGAAGTCCCAAGCCTCTCTCCTTTAATCAGTACAGTTGCACAAGAAATACGTAAAAAGGTTTTTTAAAAAATGTTTGAAACAAGGCTAATCTTGGAAATGTCAGTATCAGAAGAAATTCATTTCTTTCAAGAGTAAGGGAATTAGATCAATCGACTGCTTTGGAGTTTAATTGAAGTTCTTTTCATTTTTTTCTTTTCAGTTAGTTTCTCAGTTACCTTATTTATAGTTCATGTATCTGCCTTATCCGTTTTGGACCTTTACCACACTCTTAAACGTTTTCAGCTGCCCCTTCCTCCACTGAAGCACCCCTGCAGGGCTCAGTGACCAAGGAAGAATCAGAGAAGGAGCAAACTGCAGTGGAAACAAAGAAACAGCTCTGCCCCTATGCTGCGGTGGGAGAGTGCCGATATGGGGAGAACTGTGTGTATCTCCACGGAGACTCATGTGATATGTGTGGGCTGCAGGTCCTCCATCCAATGGATGCTGCCCAAAGATCACAACATATAAAAGTAAGTCTTAAGGAAGATATTCTGTTAATAGGTGTGAGAACTATATTTTCCCTTTCACAACATTGTCAGTTCATCTCAAAGAAACATTTGGTGAATTAAATGGTGATCATCATTAAGTTAGGGATGTTTTCCTTCCTAGGCTTCTTGACTGCTTTATCAAGAAAATTGTGCTTTAGAACCTCAGACTTTTGGGCTTTTTTTACTTTTTATTTCTTTTTTAAAATAACAGCTTCTCTGAGATTCACATTCCATACAATTTACTCTTCTAAAATGCACATTTCATTGGTTTTTAATATATTCGCAGAGTTGTGCAACCACTATTCTCTCTAATTTTAGGACATTTTCATTATCCCAGAAAAGAAGGCTCTGACTCATTAGCTCCACTGCTCTCCGTTCTTCCCTCCCTCCAGCTCCTGGCAACAACTGTTTTACTTTCTGTCTCTATGGGTTTCCCTGTTCTGGACATTTCATGTATGTGGCCTTTTGTGACTGGCTAAAAGATTAGCATGATGCTCTCAGGGTTCATTTGTGTTAGAGTGTGTATCCGTACTTCATTCCTTTTCATGGCTGAGTAATAATCCTCCGTATGGCTGTACAACATTTTGTTTTTCCATTTGGGTTGTTTCACCTTTCAGCTATTACGAATAATCATCTCTTCTAATAAACTTACTTTGGCTGTGGGTGGTGGTGAAGCAGTGGGGTGTGGTTTGACCTCTGCCTTCTCAGCGTATTGGCTGTGTGATGTAGCAGGTTGAACCCCTGGATATATTCGGGAGGGCAGTACCTACTTCAGGGGATTTTTTTTTTTTTTTTTTTTTTTTAAAGGTTTAGCCTAAGTGTCCATCGGCAGACGAATGGATAAAGAAGATGTGGCACATATATACAATGGAATATTACTCAGCCATAAAAATAAACGAAATTGAGTTATCTGTAGTGAGGTGGTTGGACCTAGAGTGTGTCATACAGAGTGAAGTAAGTCAGAAAGAGAAAAACAAATACTGTATGTGAACACATGTATATGGAATGTAAAAAAAAAAAGTTCATGAAGAACCTAGTGGCAGGACAGGAATTAAAGACACAGACCTACTAGAGAATCAACTTGAGGACTCTGGGGAGGGGAAAGGGGAAGCTGGGATGAAGTGAGAGAGTGGCACAGACATATATATGCTACCAAATGTAAAATAGGTAGCTAGTGGGAAGCAGCCGCATAGCACAGGGATATCAGAGCACAGGGATATCAGCTCGGTGCTTTGTGACCACCTAGAGGGGTGGGATAGGGAGGGTGGGAGGGAGACGCAAAAGGGAGGGGACATGGGGATATATGTATACATAGAACTGATTCACTTTGTTATACAGCAGAAACTAACATACCACTGTAGAGCAATTATACTCCAATAAAGATGTTTAGAAAAAGGTTTAGGAAAAAGATAAAAATATATACTAAAATAACTGGTTATATGGGACTATGGGTGACTTTTCTATTGCTTTTTTGTATTTCCTATAATTAGCATGTTTCTTAGAGATTAAAATATGTGTAATATAATGTTATGTAAATTATACCTCATTTAAAATAAAAAGTATGTGATGTCCACACAAAAACTTGTACATGAGTGTTCATAGCATTCATTATTCATAATAGCCCCAAAGCAGAAACAACCAAAATGTCCATCACCTGAAAATGGAAAAACAAACTGTGGTCTCTCCATACGATGGAATATTACTCAGCAAGAAAAAGAAAATGAAATAATCATATATTGTGCCACCATAGATACCTTGAAAATGTGCGAAGTGAACAAAGGCAGTCACAGAGGGCCATGTATTTATACAAAATGTCCTGAATAAGCGTATCCACAGATTCGTAATTGCCTAGGGCTACAGGTGTTGTTGAGTGGGGGTAAGTAAGTGACTGCTGTGGGTTTGGAGTTTCCCTTTGGGGTAATGAAAATGTCCTCGTATTGATTGTGGTGATGGTTGTATAGCTCTGTGCATATACCAAAAACCATTTCATTGTACACTTTGAATGAATGCATTATATGGGATGTAAATTATATCTCAATAAAGCTGTTTTATTTTGAATGTGAATTATATGCCTGGCACATAATTGTCACCTAATAAAGGTTAGTTTCCTTCACCCTTATTTTCTGATAGGTTATAAATTACAGCCTTAATCCTAATTACATTTTCCATCTAGAAACCAGTAAAATCAACAGACTTAGTGTGAAAAACTGTAGTGTGAATAACAGCAGGGGTTGAGTTGCAGGATAGAGAAAATTAGGTCGTTTTTTTACTTCTGAAGTTGAGTCCTCAGAGTTTGACTTTATAGTATCGTGAAGTCCCCAAATGTCAGTGCACCTGTACTCACTGGTGAACAAAGCTGTTTTCGGTGTCGTACTGGGAACATTATCTTTTCAACTGACTGTTTGATTCTCTGCACAGGAGTCTTTGGCTGTCAAGTTGTTGTGATTCCATGACTTGATTGCACCTCTCTCCACTTTTTCTAGTCTTGCATCGAGGCCCATGAGAAGGACATGGAGCTCTCGTTTGCTGTGCAGCGCAGCAAGGACATGGTGTGTGGGATCTGCATGGAGGTGGTCTATGAAAAAGCCAACCCCAGCGAGCGCCGCTTCGGGATCCTCTCCAACTGCAACCACACCTACTGTCTCAAGTGTATTCGCAAGTGGAGGAGTGCTAAGCAATTTGAGAGCAAGATCATAAAGTGAGGCTCCTCCCCAGTCTTCGTTTGTGCTTTTCTATTTTGGGGAAGAATTTAGTATCTTGTGCCAACTTTCAACCAGATGGACCGCATTTAAATGCATGCATTTTACCTTGAAACTGGGGGCTCTTCTAATTGGGATTTCTTCTTTGTATTTCAGCTATAGCTTCTAGATTAGTTGGTATATCTACTTTTATTTGAATGAGGAAACCGTATGTATCAGTTAGTAGAATCTTCGTGCTTTTTTCTGAGGAGATTGTGTTTAATGGATTAGCCAGTTTAGGTTCAGAGAACAAACTTATCTAGCTCTGAATGTATGTTTCCTGACATTTTACATTTTCCACTTTCCTATTCCATCCATTAAGCTAGCCAATAATCCACCATCCTTTAAAGATTGTTCTCATAACTGAACAAAAACTACATAATCTAAACAGAGCAAAGTTACAAGAAATAAATTTATTTAAACGAAAGAAAAAGGAGTCTGTGTGAAATGTCTTCTTTTGTTGTTGTTTTTTTAACCTAAGTTATTTTTTTTTTTTTGATGAACTGGCTAGCCGTTGAGTTGAATTTATCAAGGAGTTTGTCTTGCCTCAAAAGAAATGGTCAGTTGTGTGACCAGTGTGTGGAACCCTTTCAGGAAAAGCCCATTTGCCTTTCAGTTAAGTCTTTTAAATCTGGAGGTGACACACCAGGGTGTGTCCTTGAAGGACAGTGGGCCTATAAAGGGGAATTTGCATTGCAGCCTGTTCATTGTTTCCCAGGTCCTGCCCAGAATGCCGGATCACATCTAACTTTGTCATTCCAAGTGAGTACTGGGTGGAGGAGAAAGAAGAGAAGCAGAAACTCATTCAGAAATACAAGGAGGCAATGAGGTATGAGCACTGCAGCCTTTTCTCAACCTAAGATCCCAACGTCGCTTGGGTTCACTTTGAAAAGAACAGTGCTGCATTATATACTCCTACCTCCTTCCTACCCTTTCTTTTACTTCCCAGTACAGTTTATTTTGTCACCGCTGATAACACTTACCTGTTCTGTATCTTGCTATACCACAGTCCTTGGGGTGCACGCCAAAGGGCTGCGTTACGATGAAGTCTGCACTGCTGATAGAGCTAAAGCCCCAGGAATGGGGTCTGCCTTGTCCTGACTCCATGTTACAGTTGTCCCATGTTCTCGTGTGGGGGCTTTCTCGAAGGTTTTCTCTCTGCTGGATCTGCGGTACTAGGGCTGTTAAACAGCTAGACTTGACCAGTGTCCGTTTCTAGTCAGTGTTTCATGCAATAGCACACACGTGTTTAAGAATACACCTTGGGGAGGGCTGTAAAGAGACCTACCAGTTCTATCCCTCCCTGTTTAAAGAAACCCTGGATGATAGTCAAATACAGACCTGAAATCCACTGTGAATAAGGGTTGCGATATTTTCCTTTCCAGCAACAAGGCGTGCAGGTATTTTGATGAAGGACGCGGGAGCTGTCCATTTGGAGGGAACTGTTTTTACAAGCATGCGTACCCTGATGGCCGTAGAGAGGAGCCACAGAGACAGAAAGTGGGAACATCAAGCAGATACCGGGTAACTCTCACTGTTTTTTTAAAGGAGGGGAAATACCACACTCTCAGTTGAGTCCCACACAGATTGGGGTAGGGGAAGGAGAACATTAACACTGGGAGCGAGACTAGAGCATTAAAGGAGGAAACCGACTTCGGCAAACTGGGAGGGCTGTGAGAGGAGAAGCTAGAATGCGTAAAGCTCTAGACTAAGCTGTTGGCCTCAAGTAACCAGAGGGGAGGAATTGGTAAAGTCGAAACCCTAAATAAGAAGTCTGGTTCGTCATGCCCTCTGGTGTGCTGGACGTTTTGCCTTAGAAACAAGAGAATAGAAGATGCTACTCGGCAGTGCCATCCCTATCACGGCCCTGTTTTTTACAGGCCCAACGAAGGAACCACTTCTGGGAGCTCATTGAGGAAAGAGAGAACGGCAACCCCTTTGACAACGACGAAGAGGAGGTTGTCACCTTTGAGCTGGGCGAGATGTTGCTTATGCTTTTGGCTGCAGGTGGGGACGACGACCTGACGGACTCTGAAGACGAGTGGGACTTGTTTCACGATGAGCTGGAAGATTTTTATGACTTGGATCTATAGCAGCTTTGCGGGGCGTGTGAACTGGTCTGCTGAGCCTCAGACGGCAGCCGTCCCCGCTTGTGGCGGCAGCGCGCGTGGTTCTCTTCTAGGCAGGCGTCTCAACTCCAGGTGCTGTCGTAATAAGTTTTACCCAGGGCCTGTCTTCTCAATCCCTCACCTTTCCCCAAGGAGTATGTTGTTTTCTCTGTTTAAAAAAGTTACAAAAATAAATCATAAAGTTAGTTTTTTTTGTAACATGAATTTAACTGTCAGACAGTTAGAGTGTAGGTTTGTTGCGTCATCTGTTTTCAGCCAGATTCACACAGTTCAAGGGTAGCATTTCTGGATTTCCAGTACTCATTTTTGAGGACCCCAGGTTCAAAAGTAACAGCATTGGCCCTGCTGTGGGGGTCCAAGAATTGGGGTGATAGGTGAAGGATGTGAACCGTGGCGTGTAGCCTTCTGCTATAGACTTAGGCGGATCCTTGAGGTTTCTGCTGAGTTCTGCACATCTTTGTTTTTATATCTGTTCCCTGCCCTGTAATCCCCACCCTGTGCACTTGTTCTGTGGTTTTGGTCTCTTGTTTAATTGCACACAAGTACTACTGCTGGGTAACCAGAACCAGGTGCGACTGTGTTGAGATTTTTACTGTGTTTAGCCTGATAGGAAAATTGTGAAAGAACACATATAAAGATATAGTGGAATAAAATAAATGCAGAGTTCGAAGTTGACTCCCAAGGGCTGATAGACTTGGTACGTGTGAGTGTGTAACAAGCTTCTCATCCCTGCATAGATGCAGTGTCTGTAGCCTTAGTGGAAAAACTCAAGTTTAGTGGTTTCAGCCTTGTGTGGCAAATAGATCTTAAAGGACAAAGCAGTATATTGGTAGCTGTTAATAGAGCAGGGCTAGCTAGCTCTGTCTATATAAATAGGGAAATGGGCTTAGCCATAGAAGTTCAAACTATCTGGTTGTCTCATGTATTAACACAAACTGGGTCTCAGTTACACAGTTGTATTTAATGTTTTATGATCTCCTAGACTTTCTAGTCCAGGCACTTTTTGACAAACCTTTGTCCTCATTTGAGGGGTTTTGTTGTCGGGTTTTTCTGTTCGTTTTTGTGGGTATTTGCCTCATTCCATCCCTGAGCCTTGCAGCTAGACAGGTGTGATTCAAAACTATGTTCTAAGGTGTTTCCTGTAGTGGAGTAATTGGTTTGCAGTAGTAAGTCATGCTTTTCCACTAAAAGGGGACGGAGAGGTGGTAATCCACGAGATAAGCTAAAGTTAAATTGTTAGAAGAATTCCTTGATCAGAAGTTATAAATATGCGTTTTGTTGCTCTATTTCCTGAAAATAACTTGGAGAGGTGCCCCTGATTTGTCCATCTACTGCTTTGATTCCTTGGATACCACTCATTCTTTCACGTTAAGCAAAAACAAGTAATTGTTGCAGAGGTCTCTGTATTTTGCAGCTGCCCTTTTGTAAGACGCACTTTTCCCAAATAAAACAATTTTAAAAACCCATAATTTGGCTTTCTGTTTTGTGTAATGAGCCATTTTGAAATGTGCAGTTGTCAAAGCATATTTGTTTCTTTCATTGCCTCTTGGATCAGTTCATCAGTTAGTCAAATTTCTGTGGATATAGGTTCATTGAGAAAAGTTGACACCTTTCCTAAAACATCTAGCCTGCTGAGAAATGTTTGAGAGAGAAAGAGATAAAGAAGACAACCTTACCAACTGGGGTCATCAAATTATGTATTTCTTTTTAGGATTTTTAAGACTAACCCTTAGGCCTTCTTTATTGGCCAGTGGCACTGACAGTTTCTGTTGCCATGTGCTGGTTGAACCTGCTTCAGACCCGCAAATAACTGTGTTTTTGTTCCTAATTCTATTACGTGATTTTTTTTTTTTTTTTTCTTCCTTCTTCTTGGCCGTGCCGCGTCGCTTGTGGGATCTTAGTTCCCTGACCAGGGGATCCAACCCAGGCCCTCAGCACTGAAAGTGTGGAGTCCTAACCACTGGACCACCAGGGAATTCCCTATATAAATGTTTTATTATTAAAATAAAAACCCTTCCACCACTCCAATGGAAGACCTTCAGTAACCTTTTTGCAGTGCCTATTTGTAAAATAATTTAGTATCTATAATTAAGAATTAATAGTTGTAATATCTATATTAAGAATTAATGCTGTTGAAAATGTCTCCACATCTAGGATTGTGTGTATTGCAGCTTACTGTAGTCATGGTCATAGCTTCAGGTCCACTGAGGAGTCTGTTTCTGTAAGCTCCCTTCTGGTGGATCTTTAGCTGAAGCTGCTCCCTTCCAGAAGTGCCCAAAGTTCACCTTCAGCTGCTGCTGCTGAGGCCTTGCTGGGGACCGCATGTACTCCCAGAGGGATGCTAGAAAGCCTGAGGCGAGGTGGAAGTGTTGGGGATCTGAGCCGGGCCAGAGACTCAAGCCTCTGTTTTTTTGGTGTCCAGAAAGTAGGAAGAGGCTCATCAGGAGCTGTGCCGTTGGCGGCATGTCTGAGTCTGGTGGGGAGAATGGTCTAGGCATGACCCAGGTGGTGATACTGGCTTACTGCTGGAGTTTAGGTGGGTTGATGTTTGGAGCAGCTTTCTTTGTGTCTCAGAAAAGGCAGTGAAAGCTTATGTATAAGCCTGTCCTTAATGCGTGTTGCTGCCTGGTCACTGCCTACACTGCAAGTGAGCTCTTTCTGTGTGCTTGCCGATTGCACACAGTTGGGGGACCACCGTTGATGAGTGAAACTTCTTTCCCATCTGCACAAAACTATCATCTCAACGTCTTTCCTGCCACCACACAACAATAAGCGATGTTTACATCTGTGACTAACTCCTGTGGACATTCACAGATTATTTTTTTAAAGGTTGGAGGAAAAGTGAAGCAAATACTGCCGAAGATTTGGGGGAGGGAGGGAGGAGGTATGCTGTTGATAAAGGTATTTGTAGTCGTCGTTATTCACGCTCTTCAAATGTCCAAGTCGGCTTTCTGGGTGCGCGGTACAGTGGCAAAGACCATCTGACTTTGGTGAGCTGATGAAATGTGAGCAGAAGTGACAAATATCATTTCCACATGAAAGTTAAGAGCCAGTCAGTGCATGGTTTTCCTCACTCTCCACTTTCGTATGGCCATGCGTAATTTCTGAGGAGGTGGCGGTTCCACCGGCCTGGGTCACACTGCAGGGATAGGTGGGGCGAACACTCAGCTGACCTCTGAGGGGCATATGGGGCGCCAGCTGGGGGGTGAAAAGCCTGTGAAAGTTTGTATCTTCATGTTGTCACAGCACAACCAGTCCTGTGTTGAAATCATCTGTTTAAAGAAATGAGCTGTCATTGCATACAGAAATCTAAGTAAAAGACTTTCAGTATTTAAAATATTCATTTATGTTTAGAATACTTCTTAGGCACCTCTATTCAAGATAATCCAGCGGCAAGTAAATTGTAAGGTGATCAAGTAAGTTGTACTGATGAACAAACATAAATAAACTTTATCTTTTAAAATTGATACATCGTATACAGACATGATTAGTAGGAAAAGCATTATTACAAACTTTACTTGCTTTTTTGCCTAATCTTTGATGATAAATACTACTGATGCAAATATGTAATTTTTTTTAGAAGAATGAGATTTTGTACTACAGTTTTTAAATAATGTCGGAAGGACTTGAGTTGAATTGCTGTAAGTTGGTTAGCTAGATGATAAGTTTTTAAGTAGCCCTCAAACACTGGAAGACGTTTCTGAGGGTAGCATAGGCTTGTGCAGGAAAGGAATTTCCCTCTAAGTGGGAAAAGAATCTTTAAAATTTTAAGCAGCCAGTGCTTATTTTGTATTGAATGACAGGACGAGATCCATTGCTGATAATAGAAAATACCTAAGATCTTACTTTCATCAGAACTAACCAGGTCTTAATGCAGCTCCCTTTGTTTGTTTGTTTGTTTGCCACAACACGCGGCCTGCAGCATCTTAGTTCCCCAACCAGGGATGGAACCTGTGCCCCCTGCAGTGGAAGTGTGGAGTCTTAACCGCTGGACTGCCAGGGAAGTCCCATTGTGTGATTATTTTTGATAATTATAAATTATGATAACTACTATAAAGGTGTAAAATGAGAGCTTTCAATGGGAGGCCTGGCTCGTCTCTGGCCAGGGAGAGCTCATTTGAGCTGAGATCTGAAAGGGGGGGAAAAGGGCATCACCACTCAGACCAGACATGTGCTGAAGCCGTGAAGCCGGCAAAGGTAGAACATATGATACCTTGTACTGAACCCTACCATCAATGGCAGTAGATACCCTGCAGGATATGCCCAGTTTACTATCTTAGCTACAACAGTTTCTTTCCTTTTAGAAAAGAATATCAATGCAAGTGTGTCGGTAACATTTATAGGGATAATATTGGATTCCCCTAGTATATCAAGATGATCTTGCTAAGTTTCAGTACTTTAGTAAAATGTGACACACCCAACTGGTCCTCTTCTTAGCCTAACCAGAACTTAGCGCTCCCCTAAAGTCACTGCACCCCCAGAGTCCTGTCCCACAGGGACCTCAGCTATCACTCTTCTAAAGCCACTTGCACATTATTGGGCCACCTGTGCCATAATTTGAAGTCCATGCCACCTAGCCATAACACTGTCATCATAGGAGAAGTTGCACGATGCTTTATAAGGCACTTTGCGAGCTTTCTTTTCTTTTCTTTTCTTTTTTGCGGTACGCGGGCCTCTCACTGTTGTGGCCTCTCCTGTTGCGGAGCACAGGCTCCGGACGCGCAGGCTCAGCGGCCATGGCTCATGGGCCCAGTCGCTCCGCGGCACGTGGGAACCTCCCGGACCGGGGCACGAACCCATATCCCCTGCATCGGCAGGCAGACTCTCAACCACTGCGCCACCAGGGAAGCCCTCAAGCTTTCTTAACTGATCCTCACAAGCCCGTAAAGTAGTTAAGGCCAGTTTTTGTCTCATTTTGCAAATGAGAACACCAAGGTGCAGGAGTTAACTAGCCCAGTGTCCAG